GTGGTTGACAAAGACTTGGTGAATAAATCAACCACATTATCACTCGAACGAATCTGATATACGTTGATATCACCATTCTTCTGGAGCTCATGTGTGTAGAAAAAATTTGGTGAAATGTGTTTCGTTCTATCTCATTTTATGAATCCTGCCATGAGTTATGCTATGCATGCTGCATTATCCTCATATAAAATTGTGGGTACTTTATCGTATTTTAAACCACATTTTCTCGAATAAGATGTATTATGGACCTTAACCACACTCATTCTCGGCTTGTTTCATGAATAGCTATTATCTCAGCATGATTTGATGAAGTGGCCACGATAGACTATTTCGTAGATCTCCAAGATATGACAGTACCCCCACATGTGAATACGTAACCTGTTTGAGATCTAACTTTATGTGGGTCAGATAAATATCCTGCATCAGCAAAGCCAACAAGGTCTGGACTGCAATCATTAGAATAGAATAAGCCCATATCGATAGTCCCTTTTAGATACCGCAATATGTGTTTGATCCCATTCCAACGTCTCCTATTAGGAGTAGAACTATATCTTGCTAACAAATTAACCAAAAAGGTTATATCAGGTCTTTTAGTGTTAAGAAGATACATTAGTGCACCAATTGCATTGAGATATGGTACTTTAGGACCAAGAATTTCCTCATTCCTTTCTTGAGGTCGAAATGGATCTTTATTCACATCAAGTGATCGAACAACCATTGGAGTACTTAATGGATATGTTTCATCCATATAAAATCTTTTTAACACCTTTTCTGTGTATGCAGATTGATGAACAAAAATATCGTTTGTCAAATGCTCTATTTGCAAACCAAGACATAATTTTGTCTTTCTGAGATCTTTCATCTCAAATTCGTTCTTTAAATAATCGATTCCCCTGCGAAGTTCCATTGGAGTTCCAATAAGGTTTATGTTATCAACATAAACAACAAGTACACCAAACTCTGATATTGTTTTCTTTATAAACACACATAGGCAAATCACATCATTTGTATAACCTTCCTTAGATAAATACTCACTAAGACGGTTATACCACATGCGTCCGATGGCTTCAAATCATACAATGATCTGAGTACATTTTCCGAGACTTTGAACTGTATGCTTTGGGCATTTTGAATCCTTCAGGAATTTTCATGTATATCTCATTATCGAGTGATCCATAAAAGTAGGTTGTAACCACATCCATCAAATGCATTTCAAGTCTCTCATAGATTGTGAAACTAATGAGATAATGCAATGTTATTGCATTCATAATGGGTGAGTATGTCTCTTCATAATCGACGTCAGGCCTTTGAGAAAATCCTTGTGCAACAAGACTTGCTTTGTACCTTTGTATTTCATTTTTCTCATTCCTTTTCCGCATAACAACCCATTTATAGCCAACAGGTTTAACACAATTAGGTGTTTGTACTATAGGCCCAAAAACTTTGCGCTTGACAAGTGAATTCAATTCTGATTGAATTGCGTCTTGCCATTTTGGCCAATCATTTCTTTGTCGACATTGTACAGCAGATTGAGGTTCAAGATCTTCACTATTTTACATAATTTTTTATGCAACATTGTATGCAAAAACATAATCCACCGCTATTTCTGAGCGATTTAGATTTGTTTCATCGTCACTTGATTTTATGAATAGTTCGTTATTTTCTTGAGTCTCAAGCTCATTGATCCCTTCAAGGATACTAGAATTACTCACATCTTGACTTTCTATATGAGGTTTTTTCATAGTATCATTTTGACCTTTTAATTTTCTTTTTCTAGGGTTTTGATCCTTTGAACCTAATGGTCTACCACACTTCAGGTGTGCTTTTGACTCGTTAACTATGACACTAGTAGATGATCCTACAGGGACATCAATTCGAATTGGGACATTCTTTGCAGGAATATGTGATTTAGTAATCCTTTTCAAATCTGTAAATGCGTCTGGCATTTGATTTGTAATTTTCTGCAAATTAATGATCTTTTGTACTTCTTGCTCACAAATGGAAGTACGAGGATCAAGATGAGACAATGCTGAATTTTTCTACAAAATTTCTCCTTTAATTTCACTATTTTCTCCCCCTAATTTTAGAAAAAGTGTCTTATCAAAGCGATAATCTGCAAATCGGGCTGTGAACATATCTCCAGTTAGTGGTTCAAGGTAGCGAATAATAAAGGGTGATTCAAACCCAATATATATTCCTAACCTTCTTTGGGGTCCCATCTTAGTGTGATGTGGTGGTGCTACCGGCACATATACAGTGCATCCAAAAATTCTTAGATGAGATATATTGGGTTGTTGACCTAAAACCAATGCAATGGAGAAAATTTATGATAATTTGTCGGCCTGAGATGTATAAGTGTTGCAGCATACAAAATTGCATGACCCCACACATAAGTGGGCAACTTAGTTTTCATAAGTAATGACCTTGCTATCAACTGCAGTCGTTTAATTAATGACTCAGCCAGACCATTTTGAGTGTGAACATGAGCTATAGGATGTTCAACTCTTATCCCAATCGACAGACAATAATCATTAAATGTTTGGGATGAAAACTCTGCAGCATTATCAAGGCGAATGGACTTAATCTGATTATCAGGACACTGTGCCCGTAATCGTATTATTTGTGCCAATAATTTTGTAAATGCCAAATTGTGAGATGACAATAGGCACACATGAGACCATTTAGAAGAAGCATCTATTAGGACCATAATATATCTAAATAGCCCACTTTGAAAATCGATCCACAAATGTCCCCATGTATACGTTTCAAGAATGCAGGGGACTCAATATTGAGTTTTGTTGGTGATGGTCTCACAATTAACTTGTCTTGATAATATGCATTACAAGAAAATTCACCATTTAAAAGAATCTTCAAATTCTTTAATGGATGCCCATTTGAATTTTCTATAATTCGTCTCATCATTATAGACCAGGATGTCCCAGACGATCATGCCAAAGTACGAAGGTATCAAAATTAGTAAACCCCCGATTTACTATAAAATGTGTCTTAATTGCACTAATTTTTGTCCAATACAATCCAGAAGATAAGGCTGTGAATTTTTCTACAACATATGTCTGCCCGGAGACATTTTTGGTTATACCAAGATATTCAAGATTCAATTCATTAATTGTCTTGATATGATAACCATTTTCACAAATATCTTTGAAACTCAATAAGTTTCTCCAAGACTGAGGAGAAAACATAGCATAATTTATTATGAGTTTAGTTTCCTTGGGCAAAATTATAATGGCTCTTCCGAAGCCCTTGATCAAATTAGCACTACTAGATATCGTAGTAACATTCATATTGCCCATATTTAAATGAGAAAAATATTTCTCATTTTTGAATATCGCGTGTGTTGTATCAGAATCAATCAAGCAAATGGCTTCATAATTTGATAATTTGCTTGGAGAATTATCCATTTCTTCAAAAGTAATGAAATAAATTTTTATTAAATCATTAATTATCTTCTATTAAATAATTTATGAAATATAATAAATAATGGAAGTGTTAAAATGACATTTGAATTATTATAATGATCATATACTAATAATGCACAAGATCTTTACCACCCAAACCTTTACACTAAACTTTAGTTTAATTTAACATGTTTAAAATAAGTATTAATATAATTATCTAATTATTTATTATTTTGAAAGGATATTTGAGTGACAAAAGAAAAAGTTGTTTTCACTTGCTTTATTTAGATAGTGCTTAGATAGTGCATCTACTTTTATTTTAAATATAACTATATATATTTCCTTTTATAGTCACAAAAGATAAGAAGAAAATATTACTTTAATATATTCCAATTCTTCTCCAAATCATTATAACATTCCAACTCACATTTCCATAGGTGTTTTACAAAGGGACTTGATGAATATACATGGATAAACATATGTACTTTAATTATTTTCTTCCCACATTATGACTAGTACAAAACGACAAATATTTATAATATTATTATTAACAAATATCAATCATGATTATTCTTTCACATCCACAGAACCGTCCCCAATCAAGTGATCTATTTTTCCTTCAGGGTGTGTGAAGAAATCTGTTGCATCCAAGTGTGTGATGTCAACATGATCAGTGATAAAATTAACTTCAAGATTTTTATCCTTCTTTCTTAGTGATGCTTGATAAAGCTCAATCAGGTGTTTAGGAGTACGACAATCACGTGCATAATGACCTCTTCCACCACATCGAAAACAATTTGTTTTAACTGCTTCACGTTTCTCATCTTTTCCTTTCCCTTTTGATAGTGATTTTTCTTTGGTGAATGATTAACACCGGGAAAAGGATTTCGCTCTTGGTCATAATTACGACCACGGCCACGTCCACGTCCACGACCTCTTCCACGCCTAGCGTGGTGGGCATACACCTCATTCACTTCAGGAAATGGTGTAGATCAAGTAGGATGAACAAATCATTATTTTGTTCAGCCACGAGTAGATGAGAAATCAGTTCAGAATACTTCTTGAAACCCTTTTCTCGATATTGTTGCTGTAGAAGCACATTCAAGGCATGAAAGGTGGAGAACGTTTTTTCCATCATATCAACACCATTAACCGTATCTCCACATAGTTTCAATTGAGAAGTAGTTCTGAACATGGTAGAATTGTACTCGTGAATAGACTTAAAGTCTTGTAACCTTAAATGCATCCAATCATATTGTGCCTTTGGATGAATGACCATCTTCAAATGGTCATATCTTTCTTTTAAATTATTCCACAGAACGAGTGGATCCTTGACTGTGAGATATTCAATTTTCAAAATTTCGTCAATATGATGACGTAAGAATATCATTGCTTTAGCACAGTCTTGTTTTGATGCTTTATTTTCAATTTTAATGGTGTCTCCAAGACCCATTGCATCCAAATGGATTTCAGTATCCAGTACCCATGAAAGGTAGTTCTTGTCCGAACCATGAAGGGCAACGAACTCAAGTTTAGTAAGATTAGCCATAATAAAGAGAAGAAAAATAATAGTACCTTAGCCTTTAAATTTAGTCTTCAAACTTTGAGATGACAAAATCTCGTGCTGATAACGTGTTAAAAAATAAAGACTGAGTACTAAAATTAAACTAATAACAACCAAGAAGAGAAGAATGTAGTAGAGAGATAAAATAGAAAACTTTTATCTTCCTTATTTTTGTGTGTTTTTCCATACAAGTTACAATGCCTTTTATCGACATAAAAAGGGTACAATGGACATTCATTAATTCATTTACAACAATTTGATTATTATTATTAGGTCAAGATTGTGGTAATTATATCATTTCCTTTTGAAATAAACTAGGCATGCAAATAGTCTAATGCTAATTCACTCTAAATATGATTCTCAATCAATTTTTTTTCTTAATATGACAAATATAATATGGAAAAGAAACTGAAAGTTATCAATTATGTTTTGTGAAAGGAAAGAAAATAGAATTGCCAACATTTCGGACACTTATATAGTTATATTAAAACAATTTTCAAAAAAGTAAAAGTAAATCCAATTTCTGAATTCAATTTTGCAGTCTAAAAAGAACGAAAATAAAAAATGGTATACAAAGAAGGTTACAAGGAAATTTCGTTGGAGGCATCTACTAGAAAACAAGAAAATACTTTGCTATTAGCAATTTATCAAAAGCAGATTTAAAATGGTAGTGAAATAATTATTATATCTCAAAAAAAATAATATTAATCATATTATTTATTCATTCTATTCTATCCATAATTAGTAATTTTCAATAACTTCTTCTTCGTTAGTCATTATTTTGATATCATTTAAGACTGATTATTTTCATTGCCTTAATAAGCTTTTCCTAATAAGGAATTTTGGAGTTGTCAAACAGTTTTTTCAACTTAAATCTGGTCATTCGGTCAAAAGCTTTTATGACACAATTACCATTGATTTTCTCTAAAATAAAACCTCACTAAATTAATATAGATGAAACCATGAAATATTATTATTTTGTATATATATAATTTAATTGATAAATTAATATTTATTAATTTAAAAAGTGTTTTAAGATTTAATGAAGATTAATTTTGATTACATTAAAATCATTATATCTTAATAATTTGTTTATCATATTTATTGAACTCGCATAAAAACAAATATATTATACAATAAACATCAGCCCATATTGAAATAATTGTTAGTGACAACAATAATCTATATCTATACTAACTTAAAAGTATGAACTCCCTAACATGAATGTTAAATTACTATTTTACCCCCAACTTAAAACACCCAATTTATTATTATATATTCTATATTTAATATTATATTTATATACACTATATTATATTAAAAGCAGACACCTTTTCACATTGATGGGTAGTGACTTTTCCGAAAGCTTGTGACTTTTTTTATAGAGTTGTGACTTTTTTGATGAGTTATGACATTTCTGAAAAGTTGTGATTTTTCTGAAGAATTGTGACTTATCTAAAAAGACACGACAAGCATCTTTTCATACTATCATTTGCTGTCTATAAATAGAGGGGGTTTCTCACACTTTTAAACTACGAATTTTGTAAGTTTTCTAGTCTTCTACTTATAACAAGGAAGATTGTGAGAGTTGTTCGATTATGCAATTACAATATTTTTTTTGTTGGTAAATTAGATAGATCAATAAAAATTGATGCAACAAGGAGAATAAAATAACTCAACTTCAAACTAGAAGAGTATCGTGATAATTAATATGCACTCATTTTCATAGCCATAAAATATACATTTGCAGGAACTCTTATTTGACAAGAAGTTTAATGATTTTTGGTTGCACAAACTACAACTTCGTGTTCAGAATATGAAAAGTCTCAAACTAATGGAGAAAAAGTATTTGATCAAAAAACTTGTTTGAAGAATCCAAATAAGTACTCTTTCGTTTTAAATTTATTTGTTGTACTTTTATTTTTATTCAGTTTAATATAAAATGTTCTTTTTTCTTGGGGTGAGGACGCATCTTTAAGACCACAAAATTAAAAGACATTTTTATATATTCTACATATGATCCTTATATTAAAAGTCTTCTTGATTTTTTAAAATTTCATATAAAAAAATTAGACCAATCTATATCTATCTTTCTTTTACTATACTACCTTAAAAGAATAAACTAATAACTTAAATGTTAAATTATTATAATAACCCCAACTTAAAACACCAAATGTAGTATATCTTCTATATTTTATATTGTACTATATTTATTTATGTGTATTATATTATAATATATTAAAGGCAGACAACTTTTCACATTGAAGGGTTGTGACAATTTTGAAGAGTTATAACTTTTCTGATGAGTTGTGACCTTTTTGAAGGGTTGCGACTTTTCCGAAGAGTTGTGACCTTTTTGAAGGGTTGCGACTTTTCCGAAGAGTTGTGACTTTTCCGAAGGGTTGCAACTCCAAAGAGTTGTCACTTTTCCAAAGGGTTGCGACTTTTCTGAAGAGTTATGACTTTTCCTATGAGCGTTGACCTTTCTGAAGGGTTGTGACTTTTCTAAAGGGTTGTGACTTCTTTTTGATAAGGCACCACAAGCAGTTTTTCGTACACTACCCTTTGTTGGCTGTAAAAAGAGGGGATTCATCAAATTTTTAAACTACATTTTAAAAAAATATAATTATTATTATTATTCATCTTAAAATACTCAATTTCGTAGATCTTCTATATTTCTATGATAAGAAACAATATGCACATGCTAATACTACATATTTTTAACTATAAATGGAGGGTTTTTTTTTCACATTTTTAAACTACAGTTTTTTATGTTTTCTATTTTTCTCTTCTTAAAACCTCAAGTTTGATTTACAAACGTTGACAATCTCAAAGTTCAGTAAAATTAGAACACTCCATGATATGAATGTTAAATTAATCTAATACTCTAGCTAAAACATCCAATTTAATATATCTTCTATATTTTATATCAATAATTTTTTATATTATATTATATTAAAAGTAAATACACCTACAAAACAATAATAAAAAAGATATGAACTATGGGGAAGGTGTTGAAATTTGGTAGAATCTTTTTACTTTTTCTTTTTAGTCTAAAAATATTTTATAGTATTTAATTTCCTTTCAAGTCTAGGGTTTACATTAATTGCATAATATTTAGTTTTATTTTAGTTTAGTATCTAGAAGGATTCTCCTTAATTATTTATAAATAGGGATGTACTCTTCTATTTGAATCAATGCAAGAATCAATACAAAGAGTTATCATTCATTCTCTCTTTAATTTCTCTTTTTAGTTTCTTCCATTCCATAACAGTAGTATCAAAGCCTTACATTGATCTTAATGGATCTGTGAGTTCGTTGAAGAAGAACTTTCAACCACTTTTAATTCATATCTATTTTCAACCCACTTTTAACCCGTGCTTTTATTTTTAACGCAGGGCCAATTTTAACCCGTGCTTTTATTTTTAACGCAGGGCTACTTTTAACCAATTTTTAATCTATATTATTTTAAACCTTATTTTTCAAACCATGACAAGCAATACTCTTTCTTTCAATGCCCCACAAATCTTCAATGGTGAAAATTATCAAATTTGGGCAGTTAAGATGAAGTCTTATCTTGAGGCTTATGATATGTGGGAAGTTGTAATGGAAGACAAACCCATACAACAACTCACTGAAAAATCTTCTGATGCTGAAATCAAACTTTACTCAGAAGAGAAAATCAAAAAACACAAAGCCAAAATTGTAATTCAAAATTCAGTTGCAGATTCAATCCTTTCTAAAATTATTGCATGTGAGACAGCAAAAGAAGCTTGAAAAAAACTTGAGAAGGAGTACTGAGGAAGTGAACAAGGCAGACAAAATCAAATTCTGAATTTGAAAAGAGATTTTGAATCTCTTAGGATGCAAGAGGGTGAGACTATCACTAATTATTCTGACATGATTTCCTTGATTGTCAACAGAATCAGGTTGCTTGGTGAGGATTTTAAAGATAATAGAATAGTTGAAAAGATTCTTGTAACTATTCCCGAGAGATTTGAGTCTAAAATCTCTGCTTTGGAAGAGTCTAAAGATCTCTCTACCATCTCTATTGTTGAATTGATAAGTGCTCTTCAAGCACAAGAACAAAGAAGAGCTTTCAAACAAGATAAAATTGTTGAAGGTATCTTTTATGCAAACTATCAAAAAAGAAAAGTAGATTATCCTCCTTGCAAATATTGCAAAAAGAAAACACATTTGGAAAAATTCTGTTGGTGGAGATCTGATGCAGTATGCGGAAGTTGCAAACAAACATGTCATGTTACAAAAGTGTGCAAGTTCAAAGACACTCAAGATAAATCACAAGCATTACTAGTAGAAGAAGAATGTGAGGATGAATTTTATTAGAAGATATTTTTGAAGAATAATTAAGTGTTCAAACTCAAGTTAGATATATCAACTTGAGTTTGAGGGGGAATGTTGAAATTTGGTAGAATCTTTTTACTTTTTCTTTTTAGTCTAAAATTATTTTATAGTATTTAATTTCCTTTTAAGTCTAGGGTTTACATTAATTGCAAAATATTTAGTTTTATTTTAGTTTAGTATCTAGAAGGATTCTCTTTTAATAAGGATTCTCCTTAATTATTTATAAATAGGGATGTACTCTTCTATTTAAATCAATGCAAGAATCAATACAAAGAGTTATCATTCATTCTCTCTTTAATTTATCTTTTTAGTTTCTTCCATTCCATAACAGAAGGGAGTAGAAAGTTTATTTAAGAGGTGTAACTAAGAGATTTTAAGAGTGATTAAATTTTTATTTAGCAATATTCATATTATTTTTAAAAATAGTGGGGTACATAATTTAATTTTCACGTATAACGCACGTGTGTCAAAACTAGTAACAGAAAAAAAAGATGTACACAAACAGTTAAATAAGACAATTGAACTTCAGCCTATAATCGATCATTTTGGAGCTGAAATTGTTGTAATCTGCTGGCATACGCTTTGGGCTTTAGCCTAATATTTGCTTTGTTGCTTTATTA